GACAAATTTATAAAGAATATAAGAGTATAGAGAATAGACGACTTTCAAAAACTGTAAAAGGAAAGAGATAGTTTATCCCAAAAAAACAGCATGACAAATACTTTTAATGTTAGTAAATTGCATCACCCTCGTGATAGGTCATTTAGTAGTTGACGGCTTTAAGAAATTTGTATAAAAGTGTTAGGAAAACTCGTATCTGATCATATCAATTAACGGCTTTAAGAAATTTGTATGTGTTAGGAAAACAGGTATGTTTGACTTTAGGTATTAAACAAGTATATTTAACTTTAGGTGTTAAACATGTAGTATGTACTACTTCGACTCATCGGGCTTACGGCCAAGTAGAACGAGTGAACAGTTATAGCTTCAACTAATGACGAAAATCGTTAGACGAAGCTGTAGCAGATGTAAAATGGGGAATTAATTTGACGGTTAAGTAATTCCACTACAGGGAAAACTCCCTTCGAATTATTTGGATGTTGAGATGGAACGAAGAGGAGATACTATCACGGTACTAGTCACTGTTGGTGAGAATAAATACCTTTTTGTAAAATAACTTCAATTAAGTGATATAAAAACATTTTCGTTTCGTCAATCTTCAAACATAAAATTATTGAATTCAAATAAATCAACGTACGACTCTTAAGTCGTCATTTTTATTACACTTTTCCATTACTCGAAGTACGTTCTGTTATAAGGCAAAAAAGTGTTTATGTCGTCTCTACTTCATTCTATCTCGATGGTCCTGGATGAGTTAATGATGTTTGACGGCTGAAGTCTGTGACGATAACGAATGTCCAGATTTGGAAATGATCAGAAATAAGTTTTCTGAAAAGATAAAGGGGTTTATGATTGACAACTTGTGTTGTTTTTGATAGGTCTGTTATTTTGTAAACACATAGAAATAACAATATGTTTACAAATGGCCTGTCTGTTAGGAATAGCATTGCTTGTCCATCATAACTCCGATAGGATGCGCAAAGGTACCAAAATATGTGTTACGATAATGAGCATGCCCAGTTAAGAAAATTGAAGGTTGGCCAAGCAAATAATGGCTCCAATGACGGACGGAGCAGGAAGCTTGAGCCTTTGTAAAGGACCCTAGTTACGAACGTACTCGATGACGATCGGTACGTGGTTGACGAACTGCCAGGGTCCAAACGTTGTAGAATAGCTTATACGGGCATTGGTCCTTCAGATAAAATGAAACTGTCACGAAAGTTTCGGAAAGCGATACTAGTAGAGCCGTATATTTCTTATAGAAATATTCGCGCTCACATTCATTAATTTTAGTTTAATTAATATTTTGTTTGTTTTGTATGTTACAGATTACTCTTCGCGAGGACGCGAAAATTTATCAGGTTAGCCGACTGTAACCACTCGGATGTTTCGTTTATCGCTAGGCTAGACCACCCTGTCATGATTCACGAGTGCTACTCATATTTCGTAGAACAATACGTCGAACTGGGACACATAAGAATATTTGGTGATTAGCACGGCATTCTTGCATAGACATTCATTCGATATGTTTCATTTTATGTATTATTATTCTTAACACCGATTAAATTCGATTCGATATTAAAATCAGATTTATTTCATTTAAAATTAATTAACATAGTTTACATTAGATAGAAATAAAGTAAAAATAAAGAAATTATTATTCAAGAAACCGTTTTCTTCTTTAAAAGGGCAAAGTGACGCCAAGAATAATAAAAATCATCCTACGAATACTGTTGAAATTGATGACGAAAACTAAAAGTCAAAGAGATAACAGTTAGTGGTATCAGTATTCTTCCTTCTAAACTTGGTTTCAAACACATTATTTACAAACACATCTTTTTACATGACATAGACATACAATCCCTTGCCTCTCAAATTACCCAGAAAATAGACTCACACAAAACACTTAACAATTCCACGAATCTCTAAAAATATATTTACTCATTATCTCTGAGAAACAAATATGCACACCACTTAACAATTCCACGAATCTCGAAAATGTGTTCACTCATTATCTCTGAGAAACAAATATGATTATTTTTGACCTATTATATTATTAATGAATTACTTAATAATTTAGAAAATGAAATTTATTTCAAAATTCTAGATACCGACTAGATAAATATTTTAACACTTTAAATTCAATAATCAAAAGAACGTTTCATAATACATTGGAAATTGCCAATCCTATATCGATGGTTTGGCTTGGCTTGATGGCATTGTTGATCAAATGATTATAATTATTAGAATTATGAATTTCCTAGAAAATTTAGAAAATACATTAAGTGAATTACAAAAATATATATATATATATATATATACAAAACTAACGAAATTTCAAAAATAGATTAAAAATCTTGGTATTCCATTTATCATACCTAAAAAACCTTATTTGGCGCTGACTGACAAAATACACCAATACATGTAAGATATCTATATACGGGTGCTTTTGTTTGTGTGAAAAACTACATTTGTCAATAAGAAAAGTTTTAAATAAAAACCGATGATTGCATTACTACAGTTCATCAAATTTCTAGAGGTGTTCGACGCCCAGACAGAGAACGCGCTACGTGTGACTAAGATAGCTATTGTACAGTCTGCTAAACAAGTTATTTTAAATAGTTTTTAATATTTTTAGGTAATTAAATTTTAAAAGTGTGGAATAGTTTAGGGATTAAATTGGTCTGATCGGACTTTCTTAGAACGTTTTTAAAAGCAGCTAAAGATAGTATGTAGAATTGAAAATAATTATTATGCCATAAAAGGTGTTTTGGAATTCCTTCAACCTTTTGAAATTGAGTCAGAAAATATAAATTTTATAGGATAGCGGAAAATACCTATAATTTTTTTGTAGGCCTTTGTAAATCGTGGAAATAGTTTATATTTTATTTCTACCTTATTAAGGAAAATGGTACCTATTATGAATAACGGTTGTTTCTGAAACATTACTAAAATTTTCGAAATTTTGTTTTTCTACAAAATAATAAACTATACTATTTAGAAAAAAATTTATTTCTCTTATAATTTTATAAAAAATAACAGGGGAATATTTACATTTCTTGATCTATTAAACAAAACGATAAATTATCTCGACGAATGACACCATGTTCTAGTACGGAAGCTAGCTTTACATTTTTGTTGGTGGTTTCATGGGTTTCATATCAATTTTTTGTAATTGTAGTTTACGCGTACATATACCTCTTAACACTTGTTTGCTTTATTAAAAAAGTGTGTTGTTGTGATTTACGTCGAAATAAGTCAAAAACAACTTGAAACCCCATATAAAATCTAAAAGGAGAAACGGAAAAAAATTGAGCCTGTAAATGAACACAACTCAGAAACAAAAATAGCTATCTAATAATAAAAAAATAAAATTTGATTCTTGTGCAGCTTCATCTATATCATTAACTGTTTTTGGTTTTTTAATGGTTTTTCTTGGTGATGAAAATTCCGGTATCTCACGGTTATCAATTCTTTTTTTCTCTCCAGAAATGCGGACGACAGTGTTTTTAGATACTCCTGTGGCTGCAGCAACACGATCATTTACATTTTTAAATGGTATTGAAGGTGAATTAAAGTTTCCTTCTCTTCTCATAAACTCTATAACATTGGCTATTATTTCGCGAGATTGACTGTTAATCACGCGGTCTCTTAATTTGCTATTAAACTCCATACTTAGGTTCTATTAAACTGTAATGAGCAAAAAACACAAACGAAAATAAAAGAAATGTTTTAGCGAAATTTACATCTGACATTTACGTCTGAATGAAATAGTGAAATACTTGATGCGCAGAGTGTACTTTCATTGCGTAAATCCGTCGGGATGCCTGTCAGTAGTGCTTTCTCTGTCTAGCCGTCGAAAGCCCCTAGAAATTTGATGAACTGTACCCCTATTTAAAGATAAAGAAGTCACCTGTATCAATACTCCTATTTAACACTCGTTCCAAATATTCAATAAAGTCAGTAATGAATAAATCAATTAATTATTCATAGATGACATCGATGAACCAAAATTAGAAACTTGGCTTCAATGGTCTTTTATCAGCACCCTGGCGATTCTATTAAGAAATTCCTCAAAAAAGAAACGGACCCCAAAATTATTCAGCCTTCGACTTCTGAAGAAAACGAAGCCTTCATCTAACAAGAGGGGAGTCTTCGACCTGCTGAGAAAACTTATAAATATGTGTAGAATTATAAAAATTGTCATTTCTTATTTTTTATCAGAGTAGATTGTTTGTACAGTAAAATATTTTTTTACAGTTAATTTATTCGTTAAACTTATCCAGTAATATAAAAACTGAACATATCAGCCAGCGACTAAATAAATATTGACGATAAACTCAAGATATTTTATTTAAATATTTTTAAAGTCTTACTCTCATAGAACAATCTTATAATACACTGCTCTTACATTTTTTATTTTTTACTTTTAAAATTAGTAGCGCCACCACTTTAATCTGAACTTTAGTATAAATTCAACCGAACCGACGATCCATAGTGCTCATCAGCGAAAGGCTTGGGCATGTAGTTTGCAATTTAGTAAATTAATTTTTTTCTGAACAAAATCACCAAACAAAAAATAAAATCATACATAAAAACTGTGTACTTTAGTTTGAAAACATTAAAGGTTTCAAAGGCCTTATCCATTTGGGTATCAGGTCATTAAATGTCCGACTTTTAAATTGTTAATTTGAATATAAGATTTCGAATCCAAACTCTGGTTATATTATAGTAATTCGTATATCCAAATTAACAATTTGGAAGTCAAACATTTAATTTCCTAATAACCGAATGGTTAAGAGAGTGTACGTAGACCGCGAATGGGTGGGTTCGAATCCTAGCCTGGTACTGATTTTTTTTTAATTTAACATTAATTTTTTTTCACTTTGGGGATTCAAAAATAGTTTTTATTATTTCGTAGAGGTATTTTTAAAAAATCAATTAAATTAGGGAATTCATAGATGATAAGATTATTCATGATAAAGTGTAGTATCACTTACCAGTACTCCGTCTAGTACTAATGGACCACCAGCGTCTCCGAGACAAATATTTTTTAAAGAAACTCCAGATGTACACATTTGACTGAGTCTGATGTTAAGCAGGTATGAAATTTCACACACTAGTACTGGAATTATGGTTAGATTTTGAGACCTCAAAACATTGCTGGTTTCTTGGACAGCATCACTAATTTTTCCCCATCCAGCAACTGTTGCTTCTTTTTCGTCATATGAATTTAGTATTTCTGTCACGTCAGGTAATTTTATCGTTCCGATAAATTCTGAAATATATAAACTATTATGAATTATTTTTTTACACCCACGTGTTATGTTACACAGAAACAAACAAATATACAAAAAAAAAACAACCAAATATACAAACAATTCCATTAATTTGATAATTGACCATTTCTGTTTTTAAATTGAAATTATTATGTAACTTTAACTTTATACCTTATCAGGTATATATTTTGGAAGTTAATAATAGAGAAAAATAAAAAAAATATTAATATACAGGATGGTCCTTTGAAAAATAAATGGGTTGGCCATAGGCAAGAAAGTTACAAGTATACATAAGCAAAAAAAATCCCTTTTATATAACTTTTTACTTATTTTTGTATTTTTTCATTAAAGCCTCACCTTTAAAACTATTTAGGTAGATAGTACCGATACTACTTTAAAAAGAGACAACAAATTATGTTCAATTATTAATTGCGAGAAGAGCACTCAATATATTTATCGCAAGCTTAACTAAAGTTCTAAGAAATATCAAGCATCTCAATAGGTTAGTATCTTTTGAGGATGTCATGGTTTACGTAAAACATTATGAAAATTTTAAAAGTTTTTACAGTAATTATAACAAACAGCTAAATCAATTTAGATATGTTTTATAATTCACAATATCCTAATTTGAATAAATTGGTAGGCTATGCCGCCCCTGCAAGATGATATATTTCATACAACAAAAACCTTAGACTAGGTAATAAGTCTAAGATAAAAACCTTAAACTAGGTAATAAGTCTAAGATAAAAACCTTAGACTAGGTAATAAAGAAAGGACGCGTAACAAGTATATCGAGCATACGTAGTATTCTGTGCCGATTATCTATTGGCCGCCATTACTTTGGTGCTAATCATTTCGGTGACACCAAAGTTTTTGTTCGTGTTTATTTCTGATTTTTTAATTAAACGATATTTAATAATTAGTTTATTATAATGGTTTATTGTGTGGCATATCAGTGTTAAAGTTATAGTGGCAAGAAATAAGCAGATATTACATTTTACAGGTAAATGATAAACATCAATCACTTTATATATTTTCTTATATTTTTGGGGATATTCAAAGCAATATTACAATAGACATAACACCACAAATTTGGAAAAAGTATCAGCCATACAGAAAAAGAAATCTCAAAATGCTACGATAGAGAGGGAATAATTGATAGAATAGAAATTGCTCTAATTATTAATACACCAAACAGCGATGATAGTGATTTCAATAGCGATGAATCTGAATAACAATCTCAAGAGACGTCGAAAGAGACATTTTTACAATTATGGTGATGATTTGGAGTTATTGAATGAAATACACACTAATAATATAATCGATTGCAGTACTGTACTGTAATAATAATTGTATTCTTTCGTTTACCTTTTATTATTTGTTTAATATTTACTTTGTTATTTGTATAGGAATTTTATATAACTATTAAACTGTAAAATAAAAGTCGTCCTGTTTCCATTTTTTTATACCCAAATATTGTTCAGGTAGTTAAAATAACTGCAACATTATAATAATGCTTCTACATGCTATATTAATATAATCCCATAAAGCAATTTTTAATATTATTTTTTAAAAACCTTACTCAACTGATCTTCTTAAAAGATTCATGCTTATACATGGAACATACTACTGACTGTTATTTCTTATTGGCTAACATCACAACGATGTACAGCTGCTTTTCTTTTCTGTAGCTACAATTGTCAAAACTTTCAAAGATTCCTCAATTATTTTTAAAATTTGGCAACGGTGTGGAGCTATGACGGTCTAAAATTTATTACGTCAAAGATGACGTGCATTGGTTTTTATATTACATGAAGTATAGTTTTTAGTTGTCGTTTTTTTGTTCTGGTCAAAAAAACAGATACATATATTTGATGAGTCAATCCACTTGGTACATATTGAAAATACTCCGCAATTGGTGGCCCCGAAAAGTAAAATGGCAACCGATTCTTTAGAAGTGCCTTCCATTTCAATTAAACTTCCTTTCTTCTGGATATCTATTTTTGAATTTCAGGAAGTAGAAATTTTGAGGGAAGACAGAAAAAAATACAAATTTTGTGCGTTGCAGATAAACAAGAAAAACTGGTTTTTTATTCCCTCGAATTCAAGAATGGCTACTCTGGAGTAATGGCCCTGAATTGTAGTTTGCTCAGATAAAACCCCTATTTTGTACACGACGAATATCTACTTCCAAAACTAAATTTCAATATGCGTTATCCAGTTTATCACCTGATATTGCTACCGAGGAAAGAGTCCCTTACGAAATTTTAATACATCAATTAATTACACGTACCGCTTCATCAGAAATAAAAAAGATACAACAAATTTTATGCAAAGATCTAGGCGACAGGTTGCCTTCACAAATGTTACGAAAATTAGAAACACTTCTCGGAAGTAACAAGACCGAAGAAAATATTTTGAAAAATATCTTTCTTCAACATTTGCTTGCAAATATTCGTTTAACATTCGCTATGAATCAGTCTCTCCTACATCTTTAGCATACAAAGCTGATAAAGTGATTGAAATATTCACCTCAAATAGCAACATTAATGCAGTGGACTCTACTTCTTTACTCACAACAGATGTTTCAGAATTAAAGAAAGATATCTCCGATCTATAAACCCATGTTACGGAATTATCTTTTAAAAATAGATCCAAATCTCAATGCACTAACTGCCAGTCTCGGCGACAGCCTTCTCTAGGACCTTCATGTTAGTCAAATAGCACATTATGTTGGTATCTCGCTGGATTTGGTGTATAAGCTAAGAAATGTTTAAAACCTTGCCAATGAACTCCAAAAAATGAATAAATTAACAGCTTGTCGCGGTGTCTGCTGCTGTTAGTAATTCTATAAAAAGCCACCTCCCTTTCGTTATTGATAAAAACAGTAAGTTGAGATTTCGGATAGACACTGGAGCAGAACTAAGATGTCTACTTTCTACACCTAAAGAAAGGTGAAACAAAAAAGCATTTATTCTACAAGCTGCTAAACATACTTCAATCAATACCTATGATCAAAAATCATTATCATTAAATATAGGCCTAAGACGTACTGTCCGTTGGGTATTTATTTTCGCCGATATTAAACAACCCATTATAGAGGCAGATTTTCTGCGTTGTTTTATTCTGTTAGTAGATATCACACACAAGAAGTTTTTGGACGCAACCACATTTTTAAGTGTCAATGCGATGGGGTCTACGACAATTTCTTCAGCTATTTCAACTTTACATGAACATTTACAGACTCAATTTGATCACCTTCTTTCTAAATATCCATCACTTACACGACTGTCGTATACAGACACACCTTTTAAACATGACGTTACTCATATTATAAAAACAAAGGAGTCACCTGTATTTTCTAAAGCCAGACGCTAGCACCAGATAAATTAAAACTAGCTTGTCAAAAATTTGACTACCTTCTTGAACTCGTCATTGTTCACGAATCTTTTAGTAACTGGTTATCTCCTTTGCATATAGTTCCCAAAAAAAATGGCGATTGGACACCATGCGGTGATTACAGGACTCTAAACAATATCACTATCCCTGACCGGTATCCATTGCCAAATATTCATGATTTTACAAGTAATTTTATTCACGCATACATTTTAAAAACTTGACTTGGTTAAAGCCTATCATTAAATTCCTGTCGAACCCAAAGACATACCTAAGACGGCGATTACAATACCATTTGAGCTATTCGAATATATCAGGATGCCATTCAGTTTGAGAAATTCAGCATACTCTATTGAGAGGTTTGTAAATAAAGTTATCCCTGGCCTTGATTTTTATTTCGGTTAAATAGACGACCTACTTATTGTCAATTCTTCAAAAGAAGAACACATTAAACATCTAGAGACATTATCCGCTAGATTGGTTTAATATGGCATAGTAATAATTCCATCTAAATGTTTATTTGGGGCTGAAAATGTAAGTAAATATGTTGACAGTAAAGGGAGGAGAGATGGACTAGGAAGATAAACGGACCACGGTGCGGCAACACCGCTACGCACATCTGGTGCAAGTGATGCCTTTTCATCAGTTCACCTTGAGACATTAACAAGTGCTCGTGTTTACGTATTTATGTTAGATATTTTGAAGGTAAGCAAATTTTAGCTTGGTGAAAATTATATCTACACATTATAAATTTTGAATTTTGTCAGATCTAGGTAAGCCTAAACTGTTTTTGTTGCTAAAAGCGGTAAATATGCATATGATTGACTTACATATACATAAATAAGAACGCCTGCTTTATTTGTTTCGTAGTTATAGAGTGGACCATCTATCCTCCCAGTTGAGGATAGATGGACTGATAAGGGGGAGGGGAGTTGGAGCGATATATTTCGGTTTTAGTACTATGCCCAATAAATATATACGCAAAAAACATGTGCCTGAAAGAGGTTCTTGGATCTCTCAAACATTAAATGATGCCGTCAAAGCAGTTAAAAAAGGCCAAATGGATGTTAACGAAGCTGCCAGAGCATTTGGAATACCTAAAACTACATTCAAAAGGCGATTAAAATCAAGTAAACTTGAAAAAAAGTCAAAGACTGGGACCTGAGGCCTCAGTGGGATCAAATGCAGAGCAAAAGTTAGTGAACCATATCAAGCCACTCCAAAAATCGGGGTTTGCGCCGAAAGAGGATTATGGCATATAATTTAGCTTAACGAATGGGTATACCAAACAGATTCAACGAAAAAGATAGTAATATTAAACAATTTTAAAATATTGCCTAATACTCGATTATTGTTTGCATGTAAAGCTGACAAGAAATGGCTGGAGTTGTTTTTGCGCCGAAGGCCTGATATTTCTATCAGAAAAGCTGAGAACACTTCGATAGCACGCTCAGTTGGAATGTCGAGAGAAATCGTTGTAACCCATTTCGCAGACCTTGAGAAGGTTTTGACTGAACACAGCCTCTTGGACAAACCTGGGCATATATTTAATACGAAATAAACAGGTTTCCAGCTGAACACTAGAGCTGGAAAAAATTTGGCCAAAAAAGGCTCTAAAACTCTTCCAAGTATCAGCCCGGGCGAAAAAGGAGAGCCTATAAGCGTCATAGCATGCTGTAATGCAGAGGGAAGCTTTTTGTCTCCTTACTGCAGTTTCAAGGGGAAAATAGAAAAAAAGATTGGCTTGATGGCATGCCACCAGGTTCACAAGTTAAAATGTCTGAAAAATCAGCGTATGTGAATAGTGAAATATTTATGGATTGTTTAAAAGTCCATTTTCTATCAAAAAAACCTCATAGTAAGGCACTGTTAATATTAGACGGACATACGTCCCATACTACCAACCTTGAATTACCAGAATTCATCGAGAAAAACGATAGAATTTTCACATACCATACACTACTTACAACCACTAGATCGAGCTTTTTCAAATCTCTAAAGGGAAACTATTATGATGCTTGTAGACACATGGTAAGGAATAACCCAAAAAGAGTTTTAAACAGATTGCAGTTTGGAAATTTACTCGGTGAAGCTTAAGGAAAATCAGCCACAGCCCAGTATAATAATAATATATGCAATTTCAGCATTTGGGTAAATGGGAATACTACCTTTTAATTCCTTGGTCATACCCGGCAATGCATTTTTGGCCGTAAATCCTTATCCCTCTACAGAAAATCCATGGCAGAATGAACTAGTTCAGAGAAGACCTGAATCTCCCCAACCAGATCCATCAGTCTCTCAAAACAAAGAAACCGTCACCCGTAACAAATCAGCAGCTACTGAAGATATAACTCCTGGAAAAGCACTTGATGAAGTTTACACTGTACCTGTCGTAACTGCCGCTATAAAAAGAGTTCGTAAAAAAATATATGCAGAATTTATAACAGGAAAAAAAAAGAGGCACAATGCAAGAAAAAGGCTGGTTCTAATCCGGTAAAAAGAAAAAATCAGTCGAGGGGATCTTCATCTTCTGATGATGAAGCAGACGATGTTGCACTAAGGATTGCTCTAGTGTGGATGAAAATTTTAGCGTCCTAGAAAATGAATATGTAGGCTGCAGTGAAGATTAACTAACAAAAAAGAAAGAAGAATGGTTACAACGCATTTTTTGTAAACGCTGGTTGCATGAGAACTGCACCAGTTTTTGTAACCTTTGCCAGAAGTATGGCATCGATGTAGCTCATACTTTTTAATTTTATTTTTACTTATTTCTTATTTCTTAACTATACCAAAAGGAATGCCAAAGTTTAGTTATTTTATGTAAAAAAATTTAGATTTTTATTTTCATTAATAAAGAAATTACCTTTGCCATTTTTAAATGGTGGTCCATCTCTCCTCCCTTTAGTTGACCAACAGACGAAATAGTTCAAATGATACGAGGCTTCCCACTTCCTAACTTCTGAATTATTTAGATTTAATTAATTTTTATCACAGATTTATACCAAATTGCGCAAACATTATCCAATATTTATACGAGTTTTTAAAAGGCAAACAGTATTTAAAAATAAATCATTTTTAGTCAACAGACATACTAAGCGTCTGAAGACATAAAAACGCATTAGCAACTTCAACCCTTCAACACTCGCTCCTACCAATATTATAGTAGTAGATGTATCTGACTTCTGTGCTGGAGCAGTTTTGCAACAGTTCGTAAACGGCACCTTCGTTTTTTTTTAATGTTCACGAATACCTAAACGAGATATTTATTTATTTATTTATTTACGGGCAAGCCCATTTCAATTACAAATTACAATTATAAAAATTAATTAAAATATCACAAATAGTTATGGTGCTGTTGCACAAAGACATCATACATGTCATGCAAACTAGAAACATTTAAAATAATAAAATAATAACATAGGTTAGTCGAAGGTTAAAATAGAGAAAACACGCAGTAAAACATTAACTTTAAAGCTCAGTATTACGTAATTGAGTTTTGAATGATGAAAATGGAATATTGAACAGCCTGAGATCATTGTGCAAGTTAGCTAATCTAAGCATTCTTGGAATGCAGCTGTTAAAAGATATAGTACTTTTGGTAGAGAATTACTTGCAATTTACCTCGCAGTAAAACGTTTTTGTTATTTTCCTGAAGGTCGACAATTTTTTATATTGACAGATCACAAACCTTTAACATTGGCAACGAATTCTAAATCTGACAAGTTCGCTCCCCGCAAAATACATCATTTGCAGTTTATTGCTAAATTTACTAATGATATTCGACATATCAAAGGATATAGTAATTCAGTAGCCGACGCGCTTTTAAGAGTGCATGTCCAGTCAGTTGACAACTTTCAAAATAGTTCTTCACTTAGTCTTAATGAAAATTGTTCTATCTACTACTAACAAATTTCCACAGCCCATGGTACAGGATCCATACGTAAGGTCGACCTTCACCCATCTTTTTAATGGATTAATGTTTTAATTTATAAAATAAAATATAACTATACCGCAAATGGGTTGCCCAAGAAAATATGTTCGACCATTTTTTACTTTCCTTTCTGTAAACAGACAAGGAAAGTACAGGAATCATGATAAAAGTTGCTTGTGATGACATTCTCTATAATTTTATTTCCGTACATGATTTCTCTAATTCGAGATATTTGAGGAAAAGTACAAATTTCGAATTTTAAAGATAACTCAAAAACGGATAAAGAGAAAAACACCAAATTTTAAGCTTAAGCTTTAATCCATCCTGAGGTGAGCTCATTAGAGTTTGGGCATAGTCGAAGCATCTGAAGAATACTTTACAGTGTGTCGTTTTTATTACTTTAAGAAAATAAATAGACATGCCCGTATTTTCTTAGGCAACCCATTTGCAGTATATTTATACATATTTTATTTAATAAAAAGAAACTTTTATCCGTTTAACAGATGGGTGAAGGTCGACCTTACTTCGGATCTTAGACCAACAACAAATAGACAACTACAAGTACTCATTAAATCAAAGCAAACATTTTTAATTTTCAAATCAGTTATCACACCCAATATTGACATCCCTTTATGGTGCGACGTTTTACCTGCATTTATTTATATAAAAAAATTAAAAAAATTACTATTGAGAGTAGCAGGTCTTGGCAACTGAATAAGGGCTATATCATCGTGTATCTTTTTAGGATCAAATTTTTCATGAATTTTAAATTCCGTTGCAACCATATGTTGTTGACCTTCTTCATCTGGTGTCTCTATATTGTGAGCTCCTAAAATAATTTCAGCTTCCGTGGCCCTGAAATAAATTAATTTAGTCTTAATTTAGGTGAAATCAATATCCATTTTTTAATTATTTACTTGCAGATTAAAAGTTTGTACATAGATAAAATATAATTTTTGCTCTATAAATTGAAAAATCTTTTTCATTAATTCTTATCAAGAACTCGTATTTATATAATATTAATAGAGTATATTTAAAAAAATGTTTTACATTACTTGAATAACTACGGCAAGTAAATAAACGTCTAATCACATAAAATTGTCCCGTTATATCTTGTGTGCAAAAATAAATGTATAAATATTATTACCCATCACCATACAGTGTGCTGTGGTCATCAGAAGTAAAAGTATAAATAAAAGAAGAAGATAGAATAGTCCAGAAATGTCTGGAAATGTCAGTCCTTGTCAAAAGAATCCAGATAGTTCGAGAAGGTTCTAGAAAATCTTTGGGCCCTGTGGATAGGCCAGATGCAGCAATCTTTTTATATCGGCCTCAATTTCTGTGGACTCTCATTATGTTTCTGACTACGAACCTTTAGCTGGCTTTGAAATAACTGCTGCAAATGCTGCTGGCTATACCTTGTCTCCTAAACTTGGACGAGAGATGAATAACCGGGTTCTTCTTGGAGAAGTAACTGCAAAACAGTTTGTGCCTGTCCTCGCATCGACACTATCAATAAAGCCGTCATCTCTTTCTGAGTCCAGCCATTGACTCTAGCTGCAGCTTTAAATTGGAGTCGATACGTTTCCCATGTTGTCTGACCGTCAAACGTGAGGGGCTTAAGGGTCTTGCTATTATAGTTTTGTAAAACTGGGGTTCGAACGTGGCTTGGTACGGTTATATATAAAGACAAGGTAGTGTTTTCAGCTTCAATGTTGCTTATTGAAGTTTGGCTACAAAATCTTCTCTCTAACTCCACTATTTCAGTTCTAATTTGTCTTTTCAACTCTGCTCTAGCCTTTTCTTGTTGTTGCTCTAAATCAGCTTTTAAATTATCTTGTTGTTGTTGCAAATTAGTTTTCAAATTCTCTTGTTGTTGCTCTAAATTAGTTTTTAGATTCTCTTGCTGCTCTCCTTAATTTGTAACTTTTCCAATTTGGTTTCCAAGTTCTCTTGATGTTAAGCTAAGAGATCTACTCGACTGTTAAGCTGACCTACCCACTGTTTGAAATTTTTTTGAATTTGTAGCAAACCTTTTATCATTTCTGGACAATTCTATCTTCTTCTTTTACTAGTACTTTACTTATGACGACCTCAGCACACTGTAGGATGATGGGTAACGTTATCAAAGCCTTTTATGCAAGAGTGTACAAACAATAGGTACAATAATTTAAAAACGCTACAAGAATTAAAGATAGAATACAAAATAAAATATAAAATAAATATAAATACACAATATAAAAGTGTAAAGTGGTGTTTATAAATTAAAAAAGAAAGAGATTAAATTGGTTAATGCAGTGTCAAAGATATATATGAAAATCCCATAAAAACTGAAGTTGTGCAAGAGCTACTTATATTTAGATGACTATGTATACCTTACGATATGTCTAAGCATATTTATTGTTTATCAAAATTAATCACAAAATTATGTATTAAATATGTATTTTTGTATTCATGCGAAAATTTCTTAATAAAAGAATATTTATTATTGAAATCATTTGTAGATCACTGTTCTGTCATTATTTATAATTAATTAAAAATTTCTATTAACAATATTTTGTCGATTTTGAATGCCTGCAGCAGCATAGATGTCATTTTGATGAGGTGTGTCCAATTAGTCTTTATTTCCATCTCCAAATACATATTCGTACTGAATACCTGCATCTATGCATACTGAATACCAATACCATAAGACGTGTGTACCTCACAGGTCTCTCCCGCAAAAGACATCTAAATCTGCTTTTTAATAAGCCAAATCATCGTTCAATACAGTTGCGACTCGCGCATAGAGCTTTATTATAATTTTGTGCTCTTTGATCAACAGGATTACGAAAAGGAGTTAATACATACGGCTGAAGCGGATACCTCGAATCTCCTACTAGACAACATATTTCAATGTTATGGTAAAGGTTCCTCATAAAATTTTGGGCTTGATTATTTCTCCTCGGATGGCTTTGATATGGCAATATAAGTACCGTATCCAATTACGTCTGGAAAATTCCATCAATTTTATAGAATTTCTTTCTTCTCGAGTATTTGACAACTTGATGTGTCGGTCACTGTTATGATCTCAAAAGAATAATATATGTTTAATCTTTTAATGATAACTACCAAAATTATTATGACAAGTGAACAGTAAAGTAATCTCCACATCTTTCCTTCAAGCGTTTTTGATGAATATTCTATTTCTGACTAAAATTTTTCCTCTTGGTGTTTTCACAAGGTATTTCCTTCTCTGTTCAACTTCAACTACCTCTCCTATTTTATTACACAGTTTTGTCTGGCATATTAAATTTTGCATTTAGATCCAATTGAGATTGGCGTCAAATCTCTTGCGTAATTGTTATAGAAAACTATTATTTTCTTTTGTTGCATTATCTTCCTATCTATTCTGTTGGCCTTATCTTGCGTCTTCCTTGAAACTGCCTTATAGTGAATTGGTACTAAAGATTGCCAAGTACGGAAGCATCTCCATATAATGGGGTTGTCAGAATCTGCACGCTGCAGGGTTGCGAAGAAGAACGATTGCCTGACGCTCTCATTTATTAGAAGATTTGTGTTCGGCGAGTATCGGCTAACACCGGCCGATACAAGAGAAGCATTTTCTGACGACGTTGTCGACTACATTAAATGTGTAGACTGGCTCATGAGCTAGAAGGTGCCTATAATCACAGGAGGATACACAATGGGCCTAGTGAGGTCTAAGTGCTGCGGGGGTAATCCATCCTCCACACGTTACAGATATAGATGCCTATGTAAGTTATAAGTTATGCAACTAACATTACAAACATAATATTGGTTACATAGATATACAATATTATTAAAAAAATTTAAGTGATCGAAAACATACACAATTGATATATTTGAAATAACTACCTGTGTTTATTGAAATAAATCAAATTATATAAAATGCCACATTTTTTCCCTACAGTTTTCCAAATACTCTTTTTGTAAATTTTTCAATTGGAAGTACAAAGAATTAATGATCAATTATTTTTACCTGACACAATTTTATAATTTAGTCTAAATTAGAAAAAATCATACACGTTATGGAAGTACCGTTCTGTTCATTTTCCGGAACCTTGCTCTATTCGTCCCCAAATATTCACATATTACATAAAATAAGGCATTTCTTAACTGGTTGCATAAATAGCTATTAAATGAGAAATAAAAATTATTTATGGGCCTTAATTATATCTAAGACTTACCCAGATACACACATTGCAGATGTTAAAACTAAATGGGCAGTTATTAAAGATCCACCACATAGCATATTTCGACCATTAATATTGCTTTTAATTGCTACCTAGAAAAATAAAATTTTCATTACGAATGAATCAAGTTGTTTGCTAAAGCAGGGAATTAAAAGTTTATACAGATTCGACTTACATTTTTCTTGGGTATTGCGAATTAACAGGAGAAACAGCGACAGCTTTATAAAAAGTGAGAACGTGCTATATTTCACTTTGTGATGAATTTATTAGTGGTAGTCGTTTCTCCCAGCACACCCAAGGTTCAGTTATGTACAATAGACGTTGGGATATACAGTATTACGGTGACAATTTAAAAAAAAAAAAAAAGTACAGTAAGAACGCATTCGCCATTTTATAGAAATATCATGTTAACATTAAATACATCACCAAATATGTTAATTTAAAAATACAATTTTTATTAAGTAAGGCATAATAATGATATTAATAAAATAAAGCAAATAACATAAAAAGAACTTAAATTTTACTAAGACTTTTTCGCTGATGTACTTGGAAATTGATTATCTCTTTTAACATCCCCTTTTTTAAACCAATCGTATTTTTCTGCACCCAATATTGGTTTGAGCATAGATTACTCTGAAGAAAATGAAACATTTCGTTACAAGTTTCGTCGAAATTTGTATACACCTGCATCACTGACTCCAAGTGGAAACACTCATTTGAGATTTTTCGGAACTCCAATAATTATTAATGATAGAAAATAATCGTTCAACAGTAGCGCTAGTGCTAGGAAGACAGAACACAAACTCGCACGACTTTTTCAAGTTACTCAACTTGGAACTATCTGCATCAAGACATTTAAACATTTTAACACACCGATTCTCACTATTTTTATCTTCGCTATTCCATTTATTGATTTTTTTCAACAAATAAAAAGTTAAATAATATTCAGACTTCATCAAAAAGCTGATCTTCATTTAATATCTCCCCTAAATTCGCTCTGAAGGTCTTCACAGATTTAGAAACATCATTCCAATTAAATTGGCGTCGTAAACCTGCCCCTTCGTATAATTTTAATTCTCTTAAATTTGAACTCCAGCTGTACAGATAGGACACGCAATTTGAATTTTATTTAGTTTCACTTGAGTTTAAAAATCCTTCATATTGCTTTGTCCATCATTATTTAGTTTGGAAAGGCAAAAATACTTCAATTTATTTTTTAGTGTAAAATATTCTAAAGCTGCTTCTGTTACGCTTACTTTGTTGCCTTAAATTTTGGTGATTCCTTCATGAAAGTGGGAAGCTACATTATGTACGAACCACAACCACACTTCTGATACGGGATTATTAAAAAAATGTTTAATATTTGTTGGACAGTTATCAATTGACTGAAAATAAGATTTCAATGGTTCATACATTTGCAATATTCTTTCAATTGCCGGCATCATATTTAAAAATCTTATTTTGGAAAATGAAAGGTTTTTTTTTATATTCGCAATTTACAAAATCAGCAAATGATTTGGGTTTCTTCACCCTGACAGTATAAATATAAAAAGGTTTAAATATTTTTACTGCAATTACTTCAATGTCTATTGGCAAAACATCAGTAACATTTTCAATGCATTTGTTAAAAATGTGTGCTGTACAACCAAAACCGATTAAAGACTTGCCACACGAATTGTTAAGTTTAGAGAATAAATTATTTGTTCCTTTTCTTTTCATCCCACCAAAATTAGTATTTGTGTTATCTGTTGCCAATCCAATAATCTTATTAAAAACGTAATTATGAAGTTGGTCAGATGTGTCACCCGGTAGTTGACATAAGCGTAATAATTTGACTTATATATCTTTCATTCTTATACAATTCCATTAAAAAAAATACAAGAATAATTATAATAATTAATAATTATAATCTAATGCCATAACAAAATACGAATAGGTGTGTATATATATTCCATTGGGCTAATCTCTAAAATTTAACAAACTTTAGATTTCAAATTTGTAAATCAGGAGTTAATATTTCTTGCTAGTTCATTGTCATTGATAAGCGGCCTGTTATAAACTTTATAAAATTTCTGGGAAATCTTTGATCAACCGGCTGCAACTCTAAACGTTTCTATATTAACTCCAGCTCTAAATGCCGCTAAAGAAGCGGAATGCCTTAAATACTATAGGCTTAAGAAATATTTGTATCAGTGCCTTCTTTATTTAACATTTTCTTTATCCACCTTGACTCATATGATGCTGCATGGTAGGGCTTGCGATGTGTAATTAGTAATTTCTGAATATTACCTGTTATTAATTTAGTTTTCTCAATGTAAAACAATAATACCGATGCGACCATATCTCAGGTTTTTTTTTTGAGAAAGGTGTTATTAACTTAGGCTGATCATGACCTGGACCGGATGATTTCAATAGTTTCGGCATTAATATCCCAATTTTCTTCCCCACGTTACCAATATTCCCTATCTCTATTTTTGAAATAATTTTTATCCTATGGGCTGTGCAAAGAGCAAGTAGTTTAAGTATAAAGATAATGAGTAAGATAAAAGAGATTACGGGTCCCACGTATGACAATATCCAGGAAATGTAGGACGAAGTTTATAAACACTCTTCAAAAACCGACGTATCAAGTGATCCTCTGATTCTTTGACAAAATATTCAACACGATTTAATAGTATTGAAAATAGAGTAACTTTAGCCTTTAACAAATTGTTCATTTAAAAATTCAATGATATTGTTTACAGAAGGACTTATTAAATCTAAAATATTAATTTTACAGAACATCTACCATTCTGAATCCTCTACCTTCATACGATCTCCTGATAAGAGTTCTAGTCACCAACAAGTAATTTCGTAAATATCGGAAACCATGGCTGCGATTTCCAGTAGGGTACTATGACCACCCCCTCCCTTTTTCTAAAATAATCTTAATAAGTACTCTAGTAATAAGAGGAAAGGCATAAACCATCATTGAAGGCCAATTTAAAGTAAAGCCATCCATCATGAAAGATCCTGGATCCTTTTCCATGAGAATATGTTCGACATTTGATATTTATCTAAGATGCAAATAATCTATATGAGACTCGCCACATTTTAAAATTATTTCTGTAAAAACTTTATTATTTAAACTATATTCGGTTTCGATCGATTTTGATCTTGATTCACGGTGCGTCTCCGTGTTATTTACAGATTTTATATAAGTTGCAATAATAAATATGTCTCTTCTTCTGTTGTTTATCCTATAATCCGCGACAAGCTTCACCCTTACAGACTGTTCCCCAAGCATATTTAGACTTATCCCTATATATCTCAAGTAGATATTTCCTCGGCAACAGAGACTCATGTGAATCAGCTAAAACTTGTAGCAACCAACGCAAATCAGATTTTCCTTTTGAAATAAATATTTTTGAGTTATAATTTCCGCTAGTGTACCCCAATGCCAAAAATGTTTCCTTTTCTAGAATTTTAGTTTATTACGAATTGATGGACGAACATATATAAGGCTATCAAACAATTTTGCAAAACTTCTAATTTTAGATTCCTCAACTTTTAATGACTTAACCGATTTTAAATTTCTTTTAATTGTATCTTTTGGCAAAAACATAGGTAGTTAACTTGCTAGAGCTAAAACAGAATCATTTATATCCTCTGCTAGGTACCAAACATGATTTACGGTAATTGATCAAAAAACCTAAAGACTCTAACCAAGAAAATGTGATTTTCACCAAAGAGAAAAAAATCAACTAAATAATTCACTAAAATATAATATAAAAAATATAATATCCAAGGTATTGTGTAAGCGGTTTTAAAATCTTTGTAAAAACAAATGTACATAACCCAAACGGTAAACAATTAAATTCAAATAATTTTCTTGAAATATGAATCGCAAATATTTTCTATGAGGTTTACAAACTGGTATTAGAAAATAAGCGTTTTTTAATTCCAAAGTAGCCATATGATTGAATTTGTTATTATGTTTTTGAAAGTTCGATACTCATCCATTTTAAAATTTAAAGGAATAAGCGCATGAAGTTTAAATTATGGTGCCTGGGTAAGTTGTCTTTCCTTTTTTGTTGCTTTCAGTTCTGGCCCTGATTTTTTAATAGCTTGTGCATACATTACATCTATTTAAGAGACTTTCTACGAATAACATCTTATCTCCCTTGCAACCTTATGCATTTCTGTTTTTAAATTGGGATATGTAATGTGTCTTCTATGCTAGACAAATGAGAATGAGCTGTCAATTTTAATAGTAATTACTCCCTTTCTCCAGATGGTATACCCTCTTTAACAAAAATCGCTTAGCGTTTTACTAGATCCTCGCTTAAGGGGAGTAAAAACAACACCATTTTATTTCAGAAATAAGTATGAACAACAGGTATAGAAAAGTCAGCCTGTAAACATCTATAAGTTGCCTTTATGAATATTTTCTGTTATCATATGGGTACAAAAAAGATACATTAATAGATATGCATTGTTCAAATATATAACAGGACAATAAAGGTCAGACTTTATATAAACAGATATGAAACGGATATTAAACAGATGTGCATTGTTCAAATATATAACAGGACATGCTGGTTCAGACTTTATAATGAATTAAACCAGTAAATAAACAGATATGCATTGTTCAAATATATAAAAGGACCGTAAAGGTCAAACTGTATATAATGAACTAAACCAGTAAATAAACAGAGATGCATTGTTTAAATATATAACAGGACAATAAAGGTCAGACTTTATATAAACAGATATGAAAAGAATATTAAACAGATATGCATTGTTCAAATATATAACAGCACAATAAAGTTCAGACTGTTCATAATGAACTAAACCAGTAAATAAACAGATATGCATTGTTCAAATTCATAACAGGACAATGAAGATCACCCAGTATATAATGAACTAACCCAGTAAATAAATAGATATGAATTGTTCAAATATATCACAGGATAATGAAGGTCAGACTGTATATAATGAACTAACCCAGTAAATAAACAGGCATTTTCTAAATACAAAATAGGACAATAAAGGTAAGACTATTTATCATAATGAACAAACCTAGTAAATAAAACATTGTTTAAATATATAACAGGTCAATGAAGGCCAGATAACGGTATATAATGAAAATAAACTACATTGCAAATTAACTGAGATACGAAGAAGGTAACTCATATAATTACAAATTAACGGTGTCTAACCATATATCGGAGACAACCTGTATAATGTATTTTTTAATGTATGGCTAAAATAAAATTAAATAAGTAGTTAAAAGATATATTGTTCGAATATTATAAGAGGGCGATAAAAAACCAATCTGTATAACAACGAACCAACCCAAAAAATAACTAAAATATTATTAATATTTAGAATTAAATGGCCAGCTTTCAATTCCAATTTCTTTGTTCGTTTCGATAACGTCACTATATCGTTAACGTATAGAGAAAGAATAACATTCCGATATAAACACATAAACAATCAAAATAAAAGTAAACGGCTATAAATTTAAAGCACTTACTTGAACAACCAACAGAAATACCTTCTAACCTTTTTTTTTAATTTTAATCTTCATACATTTCTTTTTTCCATTTTAACAAAATTCACTTTTATAAATTTAATATCGAAGTGTACACTCACACACTAAAAAGCGTAATGGAGTATGGGTGATGTGATGGGACAGGAAATTGTTTTGTTTTCTTTAAAAATAGTGTACGCTTGCATAAAATGAAGCAACTAGATGTGTGTTCTATTAGGACCAGACTACGAAGTATAATGTCAAATAAATTTGAGATCCATTTAGATGTACAGTTTAACGATCTAAAACTCTGCATGTGTTTAATAGTATGATAAGCAAATGTTCCCTCTTTGTCGGCAATTATCATGTTTTCGGAGCTAACTTGTGATGACTTAAAAAAAGTCTACAACTTGTTACTTTTTGCTGATGCGTTTGCCGCTTGTTTATGTTTCTTTTTTAATAAATGGGCTTTGATATTACTTCGACCACTATTTGAAATATCTACTTCACTCTTGCAAATTTCGCAGTAAACGATATTCGAAACCGTACTTGAATTTCGGTTTCATAAACGGGTAGTCTCTCTGTAATTCCGCATTGAAACGGCATTTTCGTCTTGGCGGCGACATACTTAGTTGGAGAGCTGACTTTAACGTAAAATGACATTCTTTTGAACGCACGTAGTAAGAATACCGAAAGACGGTATTCCACTAAACGGACAGTTGAGTTTATATTTTGTTTGTACTTTCTGGAACTTGAAAAACGAAAACAAAACTGAGACAAACCCAGAGCTTTGTTTTTGTTTTCGGTCCTTTTTCACTGGTTGTTGCTAGTTGCGAGGAAGTCAGAACTCATTTTTTTCAATATTTTATTTATATTTATATATGCATACCTATTTATTTTTTTAGAACAGTTCCAAATTGAAAATACATATAAGAGTAGTTTAAAATATGAATGTGACATCATAAAAACCCAAAAAGGACAATATTTGGACTTAACATAGTCTGTCTCTGACACTCAGATATATTCTACTAATATACTTATATAAATTTATCCACCGTTTCAAAATAAAATACTTATTAATTATTTATCTATAAAAAATACGTTATTTACTTAACTATAGGTACCAATTTGGTACAAAATTTAGACTACACAACACGACCATTTCCAGTAAACAGACTTGAGTTTCAAAACACGCCAAAACCTTTTGATGTTACCGCTTTCAAGCGGGACTCAAAAAACAAAACTCCAACTGTCGCAAAAGTTTTCGAAAAGTTGCAGTTTTGTTTTTCTCGACACTAGTTTGTATTTTGTTTTTGTTTTGTCCTTTTAGTGGAAACCCGCCATAATATTCATTTAGCATACTACCCTATACCGATCAACAATTAATAATACCAACATCTTCACTAACATAAAACAACAGAGAGCTATTGCAAATTTCTATAACGTCTGCCACAAATAGTGACAACGTAATTAGAAGCAAATAAATTTCATGCTAAAATAAGACTTATTGCAAACCTAAAATTTTGACATTAGAGTCCTTGTTCTTACACATATTGCTAATCTCATTTTAAAATTTTTAAATTACAGTTCTTCATCTTTTTTGTTGTTTATAATAGTACATAATATAGAAGAGGCATTAGAAATTACCATTTTAGAAGGTTTAGATAACGATGACATTATTTATTATTAAAAAACTTCGAACTGATACGAATGTTGGTGAGCGTTCCCAAAAATTATAAAGTCGCCACTTGTCCTTAAAAATCCATAATTAAGGCAGGCACAATCTTTATTAAAGTCAGTTCTAGAATGTAAGTGATCTGCGCATGCTCAAATGTCAAAATAAGAGCGGTACCAATAGTACCAATAGTACCAATAATATTAGTAGTAGTAGTAGTAGTAGTAGTAGTAGTAGTAGTAGTAGTAGTAGTAGTAGTAGTAGTAGTAGTAGTAAGTGCATTTGCAATAACTCTCTAACAGCTCTAGGACGAATATTCCTAAATTGCTATTAATTTAAACCTACACATGAGTGAGACGGATAACAACTTTAACGTATCGCTTGCGTAAACTACGACCAGTGTTGCCAGATGTAACATAATTATCGAATTATAACATAATTTTTCTTTAAAAAAGAGTAAAATAATTATTCGTAATATAATTATAAAATATAAGATTAGGAGGAGTCCCTTTCCTGAAAATAAGTACAATTGTATGTGTATACAACAATATTAAAGGATAGAAGGACATTTTCTAAAAGAAAGTACTTTTGCGATAATTTATTTGAAATTAAATATATTATTTTATATTTTAAAATAAAATAATATCTTAGCTCCCAAATAATTTATTTGATTCCTTTTTGGCCATAGCAGATATGAAGAATAAAACAATAATTCTGGTAAAAAAAACTACTAAAAATTAAAAAAAGCAACTGAAAATTAAACATTCTTATCAAATAAAAACAGTTAATGCAATAGTGGTTCGAACAAATCACCAGCTTGGGCTAAACAAAAACCAAAGCTATTATACAATTCTGTAACTGAAAATTAAATATTCTTATCAAATAAAAAACAATTAATGCAATAGTATTTCTAACAAATCACCAGCTTGGGCTACATAAAAACCAAAGCTATTATACAATTCTATTCTCATAGCATTGAGTTGCTCGGGTGTGATTTAGGCACTGAACTGTATAATTTAAAGTTCACCTAAAGATTTCTGATGGCAGGAATAATGTCATTTTCAATTAGTTGTAAATATTTCTGGGTATTCAGGCATGAAAAAGGACCAATGACATTATCCCCAGGATTCCCGCCCAGACATTTAGTTTTTGGGGTTATTGTGTGCGTAATGCTACACCCAAAGTTTTTATTCTCCAGCGACCAATAGCGTAAAATGGATGGATTTTTTATGGAGAGTGAAACTTTTCTTCATTATTTGGCAAAACTCCATCTGTTTAAAATGATCACCAGGTAATGTCCAGACTTGCATTTTCCTAATTTCCCGTTCTTCCGTCAATTGATTTCGAAATAGTTGCCTAGAGGAACCACACTTTTAGCAATAATTATTAACGGTACCAAACTTATCAATTTTACTATAATTGCATGAACTGTATTATCCATAGGAATTGGCCTATTTTACCTTCACGCGCTATGGATTCGGTCTGTTCTAGGCTAAATTTGTTTGGTTTGCATGTCAGAGTCAACGGATAAGATCGGTCTGCGTCGCGAAGAATAGTGGGATTTCCAACGCCCTACTTCTGTGTTCTCTCTCTCTTATTCTTGCTTCATACTAATAGTCTTCTTTCTGTTGCTTCATAGTTTTGCTCAATACCCAAGAATAATTTAGGTCGAATCTGTATTGATGAAATTACAGGAACAATTGCTGGTGGCAATTGGGGGATATACATAATAGGTTTATATTGAAGTTGGAAAGCTAAAGACCTGAGAATTATGATTAAAAAAATTGATAATAATCATAGATAATGGAGAACTGAATAGGTTAAGATAAAAATGAAAGTGCTGTGCCACAAGCGTTGACCAATTAAATGAGATCAAAGTACGATATGCAAGTGTCAAAATCAAATGATAACTTACCATATAAGGCATTGAATGTGGAACAACTTCTATTCCATCTATAATTTTAAGATTTTCCTCTTTTTCAGGCCCATTGGGTTTTGCACAAGACTGTAATATATTAAAATTTTAAAATTTCTGTTAACTGCTAAATCAAATTAAGTCCCAAGTAACACAAAAAGTTTACGCTGCAAGGTTGCGAAGAAGAACGATTGCCCGATGCTCTCATTTATTAGAAGATTTGTGTTCGGCGAGTATCGGCTAACATCGGCCGATATAAGAGAAGCATTTTTTGACGACGTTGTCAACTACATTAAATGTGTAGGCTGGCTCATGAGCTAGAAGGTGCCTATAACCACAGGAGGATACACAATGGGCCTAGTGAGGTCTAAGTGCTGTGGGGGGTAATTACAGATACAGATGCCTATGTAAGTTATAAGTTATGCAACTAACATTACAAACATAATATTGGTTACATATATATACAATATTATTATAAATTTTTAAGTGATCGAAAACATACACAATTGATAATTTATGGTTTTAAATATTTGAAATAACTACCAAATTAAGTCCCAAGTAACACAAAAAGTTATATATGGGTTATACCGACGTTGCAACAACTTTTCTTATAACTCAACAACATACATGTTCTAATACACTATACCTTATTATATATTATTATGCGATATATATGGATATATAGATCCTAATACCGTTTTACAGTAGTAACTCCAGTTAACTTTATAAAAATATAATGTTATTAGGTAATTACAAATGGATATAAAAACGTTGTTAAGAGTTTTTAGTGTATGATATAATTTGGATTTATCTACAGATTATTATTTATATATCTAAAGAACTGTCAAAAAATAAAAACATTTTTACAGATTCTGTAGCTGTGCTGTGTTTACTGTCACTGCTTACGAATACCATTATTAAAATTTGCAATGGATTAGGAGGATTTCAATCATTTCTAATATTTGTTTGCAAGGAATAATGAAGGAAGAATCAAAAGAAAAGTACTTATTGTATGCAAAGCATGTTTTTAAGCCTTATGGTTATTTGTAAATAATAATATACTATTGGGTTCTGGTCCTATAAAAACTATGTTAATTTTTTTTGGGAGTTTGCAATAAGGTGCTTGCATCTTTTTGTAGTTGTTCAAATTTATTTATGCATTTAATTATTCCTACTAATTTATTTAAAATTTTATGTGGTAAGTACCTATAATACTTTATTTTTTGTTATTGTCCATACATTTTGTTATTGGTCCCTATTTTCATGTCAATTTCTATGTCGCAATATTTTCTTGATCTTTATTAGTTATTTCTTTTCATTTACTTTCTTAGAAATTATTGTAAGAAGCACAATTTCCAATAATACTGTTGAAAACAACGGATTGGTGTATTGTATAGGTAGATACTGTAGATCTGTACACGAAATATTCTCAATATTTTTTATTTCTTAAAGTTCTTTAATGCGTCCAGTTTAAATAATTTTTTTACATCTATAAGAGCCACCTTATAAAGTTTATAAAGCAGTTATTCCTAACTCCTAACCTAAGAAAGATAATAAATTCTAGGAATACAATAATATACACATTTAACCACTGTACAACCTCTATAGTAACGGTGTATTATATAATTTAAAACAAAAGAACCACTAAAGTAGTTTGTATTAGATTATTTAACCATATAGTAACCTTCTAGATAAACCTAATAGTAACAACAGTTTACAACGGTATTATTAAGTGAATATGTATCCATTATTCTACTATATTAAAGTTCCTATGTCTGTCTGTCCGTGCCGCCATCTCGGGATAGAGAAAGCCACAACCTTATCGGAATCAAATATAAGCTAGGGACACTTAGAGAAGCAAAATGACACCAAAATCATGGTACCTACTTTTGTGGTTCCCGAGATATAGAATTCGGTCGAAAATTTAAATGAACGAAATCACCTAGATGTCAAAGATTACAAATTACGCCCTACTATATTAAAGTGACAATGTCTGTCTGTATGTCAAATTACCGTTGTTTATCAACACACTTTTTAATCAATAAGCAATCAACTATGAATTTCTTGATGAATCAACTTCCGGAACACTTGTAAAGACAGCTTTTGCTATGACCATCCATAAGTCACAGGGCCAAACCTAGGAATTTATCGGAATTGATCTAAAGACGGATGTGTTTACGCATGACCAGCTCTATGTTGCATTTTGTCGAGTCAAACGTAAAAGTTCAATCAAAGTTCCTGGTTCTTAGTAGTTGTAATTTAAAACTTATAAAAACGTTATAACAACCACAAATATTATATATTTTAATAAAACTTAATTTAGCTATACGTTTACTTATAAATTAACGTTTTTACAACTTTAGTTAAATATTACTCAACAAATTTTTACAAAACTGTTGTACTATTAGTTTCTACATTATTAAAAAGTTGTAAATCAATTATATAAATTTAGGCTATTTAACGCTATTTAACCTGTGTTTTGTAATTAATAGTACCAACATTTAATAACTTTGTGTGTCACTAGGGGTATTTAGACATTTTTCGTTTGTATTTACTGTGGTTTTTATTAATTCAAATATTTGTTATATATATTTATAAAAGTACGAGATCTGACCATATGAATACTGCACTCATCTGTTTTTTAATCAAAATACAATTTTTATAGATAATTATTAATAGAGAAATACAGTTTTGTCTCTCAAAATATGGCCGCGAGTACTTTTAATTAGTTTTTTTTTTTAATTTAGTATACCTACTTATTTTGAAGATAAAATATATTTTATATCAAAGAGAGATAGATATGTAAGGAACTTAAAAAGTTTGGACTGCTTACTTGGTCGCAACCTCTTGTGAACCAGTTGTAAATAGATCCATTCTTAGATTATATCAAATTAATGCTAAATTTTATCTTTACACGATGGAGTGAGGTATTCTATGTAAAAGTGCTCGCAAATGTATAGGGGTTGCCAAATGCTAAAAATATGATGTGTCTAACACATCTAATCAATAAGTGTTTGAAATATGGATTAAAGTCATCTTTATTGCACACGAAAATACAAAAAAAGCCAAATTTGCATTTTTCCTTAAATTTCAAATATGATATAAAAAATGCTTTGTCTAAAAAATATAATATTTTTTGTTCTATATAAATAACTATATAAGTATACATAAAATAACTTACCGATATTAAAAAACTAAATAATAAAACTAATAATACGTGGTAATTCTTCATTTTTGATATATAAACATCTATTCTAGTAGCCCAAATTTTTTTAATCTTAACCGTTTTATCTAATCGGATATTTATAATAAATCTAATACCCATTCATATCTACCTACTTATAAAATAATTTATCTTTTTCTCGTAGGATTTAAATAAATAGATTAAATACATTTAAGTCAATTTTAATTCAATTTGTAATTAAATTTTAATTTAGTTTTAATTCAATTTTAATTCAATTTTAATTCCATTTTAATTCAATTTTATTTCAATTTAATTCAATTTTAATTCAATTTTAATTCAATTTTAATTCAATTTTAATTCAATTTTAATTCAATTTTATTTCAATTTTAATTCAATTTTAATTCAATTTTAATTCAATTTTAATTCAATTTTAATTCAATTTTAATTCAATTTTAATTCAATTTTAATTCAATTTTAATTCAATTTTATTTCAATTTTAATTCAATTTTAATTCAATTTTAATTCAATTTTAATTCAATGTTAATTCAATTTTAATTCAATTTTAATTCAATTTTAATTCAATTTTAATTCAATTTTAATTCAATTTTAATTCAATTTTAATTCAATTTTAATTCAATTTTAATTCAATTTTAATTCAATTTTAATTCAATTTAATTCAATTTTAATTCAATTTTAATTCAATTTTAATTCAATTTTAATTCAATTTTAATTCAATTTTAATTCAATTTTAATTCAATTTTAATTCAATTTTAATTCAATTTTAATTCAATTTTAATTCAATTTTAATTCAATTTTAATTCAATGTTAATTCAATTTTAATTCAATTTTAATTCAATTTTAATTCAATTTTAATTCAATTTTAATTCAATTTTAATTCAATTTAATTCAATTTTAATTCAATTTTAATCCAATTTTAATTCAATTTTAATTCAATTTTAATTCAATTTTAATTCAATTTTAATTCAATTTTAATTCAATTTTAATTCAATTTTAATTCAATTTTAATTCAATTTTAATTCAATTTTAATTCAATTTTAATTCAATTTTAATTCAATTTTAATTCAATTTTAATTCAATTTTAATTCAATTTTAATTCAATTTTAATTCAATTTTAATTCAATTTTAATTCAATTTTAATTCAATTTTAATTCAATTTAATTCAATTTTAATTCAATTTTAATTTAATTTTAATTCAATTTTAATTCAATTTTAATTCAATTTTAATTCAATTTTAAATCAATTTTAATTCAATTTTAATTCAATTTTAATTCAATTTTAATTCAATTTTAATTCAATTTTAATTCAATTTAATTCAATTTTAATTCAATTTTAATTTAATTTTAATTCAATTTTAATTCAATTTAATTCAATTTTAATTCAATTTTAATTCAATTTTAATTTAATTTTAATTCAATTTTAATTCAATTTTAATTCCATTTTAATTCAATTTTATTTCAATTTTAATTCAATTTTAATTCAATTTTAATTCAATTTTAATTCAATTTTAATTCAATTTTAATTCAATTTAATTCAATTTAATTCAATTTTAATTTAATTTTAATTCAATTTTAATTCAATTTTAATTCAATTTTAATTCAATTTTAATTCAATTTTAATTCTAATTCAATTTTAATTAATTTTAATTCAATTTTAATTCAATTTTAATTTAATTTTAATTCAATTTTAATTAATTTTAATTCAATTTTAATTCAATTTTAATTCAATTTTAATTCAATTTTAATTCAATTTTAATTCAATTTTAATTCAATTTTAATTCAATTTTAATTCAATTTTAATTCAATTTTAATTCAATTTTAATTCAATTTTAATTCAATTTTAATTCAATTTTATTCAATTTTAATTAAATTTAATTCAATTTAATTCAATTTTAATTCAATTTTAATTCAATTTAATTCAATTTTAATTCAATTTTAATTCAATTTTAATTCAATTTTAATTCAATTTTAATTCAATTTTAATTCAATTTTAATTAAATTTTAATTCAATTTTAATTCAATTTTAATTTAATTTTAATTCAATTTTAATTTAATTTTAATTCAATTTTAATTCAATTTTAATTCAATTTTAATTCAATTTTAATTCAATTTTAATTCAATTTTAATTCAATTTTAATTCAATTTTAATTCAATTTTAATTCAATTTTAATTCAATTTTAATTCAATTTTAATTCAATTTTAATTCAATTTTAATTCAATTTTAATTCAATTTTAATTCAATTTTAATTCAATTTTAATTCAATTTTAATTCAATTTAATTCAATTTTAATTCAATTTTAATTCAATTTTAATTCAATTTTAATTCAATTTTAATTCAATTTTAATTCAATTTTAATTCAATTTTAATTCAATTTTAATTCAATTTTAATTCAATTTTAATTCAATTTTAATTCAATTTTAATTCAATTTTAATTCAATTTTAATTCAATTTTAATTCAATTTTAATTCAATTTTAATTCAATTTTAATTCAATTTTAATTCAATTTTAATTCAATTTTAATTCAATTTTAATTCAATTTTAATTCAATTTTAATTCAATTTTAATTCAATTTTAATTCAATTTTAATTCAATTTTAATTCAATTTTAATTCAATTTTAATTCAATTTTAATTCAATTTTAATTCAATTTTAATTCAATTTTAATTCAATTTTAATTCAATTTTAATTCAATTTTAATTCAATTTTAATTCAATTTTAATTCAATTTTAATTCAATTTTAATTCAATTTTAATTCAATTTTAATTCAATTTTAATTCAATTTTAATTCAATTTTAATTCAATTTTAATTCAATTTTAATTCAATTTTAATTAAATTTTAATTAAATTTTAATTCAATTTTAATTCAATTTTAATTCAATTTTAATTCAATTTTAATTCAATTTTAATTCAATTTTAATTCAATTTTAATTCAATTTTAATTCAATTTTAATTTAATTTTAATTCAATTTTAATTCAATTTTAATTCAATTTTAATTCAATTTTAATTCAATTTTTAATTCAATTTTAATTCAATTTTAATTCAATTTTAATTCAATTTTAATTCAATTTTAATTCAATTTTAATTCAATTTTAATTCAATTTTAATTCAATTTTAATTAAATTTTAATTCAATTTTAATTCAATTTTAATTCAATTTTAATTCAATTTTAATTCAATTTTAATTCAATTTTAATTCAATTTTAATTCAATTTTAATTCAATTTTAATTCAATTTTAATTCAATTTTAATTCAATTTTAATTCAATTTTTAATTCAATTTTAATTCAATTTTAATTCAATTTTAATTCAATTTTAATTCAATTTTAATTCAATTTTAATTCAATTTTAATTCAATTTTAATTCAATTTTAATTCAATTTTAATTCAATTTTAATTCAATTTTAATTCAATTTTAATTCAATTTTAATTCAATTTTAATTCAATTTTAATTCAATTTTAATTCAATTTTAATTCAATTTTAATTCAATTTTAATTCAATTTTAATTCAATTTTAATTCAATTTTAATTCAATTTTAATTCAATTTTAATTTAATTTTAATTCAATTTTAATTCAATTTTAATTCAATTTTAAATGTTTCTTCATTTGGAGCATTTATTAAAACAAAAATATTTGTTTCAGATAAGTTCATTTAAAGGAATTTGTGGAAATTAAGCGATTTGCTTTTATATTTCATGTTTAAAAATTAATTGTTTGTTTAAGAATCAATGTCTTTTTTTAGTCTAATAATATTTAAAAAAAAAGCTAGAATAGATTTCTGAAATATTACTATTTAATATTTCTAAAAGATTTCAAATTTTTATTTCAGAAATATTACTTTTAAATATTATATTTAGAGGACATTTTTACGTTTCAGGCACATTTGAGAAATGTTTCTGGGATGTTTCGTAATATTAATACAACGTTACAAATGTTTCAATGTAATATTTTTGAAATATTTCTGAAATGTGTTTGTGCTGTATGGGTGATTAAACGCATCGAACCATGAATAAATAGGAAATGGGAACAAGTAAACTTCTTTATTACACAAAAAACGGGTACTTACAGGTCTAAGACCACTAGTACTAAACAACACAGTTATCCCATTCGTCACAGAAGCCAAATACGTCGGAGTCATATTTGACCAAAGGCTAACGTGGAATCAACATCTCAAAAAACACACAAAAAGCTACAATAGCTCTCGTGAGCTGTAGAAGAATATGTGGGAAAAACTGGGGTCTAAACCCCAAAATGACCATATGGTTATACACAAGGGTAATAAGACCCATGATAACCTATGGCGCAGTGGCGCCACTGCACATCTTCATACAAGGAGAATCCGAGTCAGCTATTCACAGGCTAATACAGGGACAAAACCCAATAAGCCAACTACATAGCGCCGACCACACAAGGCTATATCAGAAAGTAAAAAGGGATAATATTCTAGGAATGCCTACTGATAGAGTCATAACTACATACAAATTTGAAAGAAATTTTCAAATTCAAATACCAGCCCGAGAAAGCTGGAAACAGGGACTTCCCGTACAGGTTGAACTCGTCTGATACACAGACGCTTCAAAAACCAAGGAAGGAGCCGGTGCTGGAACCTATGGACCCAAGTCGAAATCAACGATTTCGCTGAGTTTAGGAAAATATGCAACAGTGTTCCAGGCTGAGCTAATATAGCCATACAACACTGTGCAAGAGAAATATTAAATCAGCAAGTATCAGGCAAAATTATTGCCATATACTCTGATAGCCAAGCAGCTCTAAAGGTTATTCTCTCACCAGAAATCAAATCACGACTGGTGAAAGACTGTCTAGAAGACCTGACAGAGCTAATTAGTCAAAATAAGGTGACCCTAGCCTGGGTTCCAGGCTATGAAGGATATCAAGGCAATGAAAAGGCCGACGAATTAGCCCGAGAAGGCTCAGATAAGGCCATGACAGGCCCCGAACCCTTCTGTGGAGTTGCTAAGGCATTGTGCAAGACATCTATTAAACAATGAATGCAAAAAGAGTCTCAGAAATGGTGGAACAGCTATCCAAGACTGAGACAGGCCAAACAGTTCATCAAGGAACCATCGACCAAGTTCACGAAAGACTTACTGGATCAAAAGCGTCAAAT